AAAAATAAACCGCCACTGGTTTTCTAATAATCTCTTCTATCTTCTGTTTTAAGGCGCAGGATTGCTATTATTTAATCGACCACCCGCAACGTGCGGCCTTCTCCTTTTCCATCCTCGTCTTCCATGCAACGCCCCACGACCATACAACGACTTTCCTCCTCTTCCCCATTCTCTACCTCCCCTCCCTTCACGTCCATTAACCTTCTCCCTCCTCACCTCTTCTTTCACATAGCAGCAGAAAGGCAAAACAATGGAGCGAAACCCTTCTCCCATTCCCCAAAAATCATCTAGCTTCACCTCCTCTCGCGAGGACAAACTCCGCCATTCCGATCGCATCCTCTCCCTCAGCTCCCTTCACTTTCATCCCATCTCCGAAGACGCCGCCGAAGTCGCCGGAGAAAACGATGTAGAAAATGGCGGCAAAGAGGAACGAGAAGAGAGAGAAGATTCACCGGCCAATGAGAAACAGGACAACAACGACGAGATCACTACAGTCGCCGGAGAAATCCCGGAGCACTACGATCTCCTTTCCCTCTCCGATGACATCGACCAGTTCCTCGCCATCCTCCGCAACCTCGGTGACTCGCCGGAGTCCGTCCCGGAGATCCCCGACATCGCCATTCTCCGATTCACCGCATTGCTCGAGAAAGAGATTGCTAAGTACGAATGCGGCGGAGATCGATGGTCGTTGGATTCCAGCGAAAACCCTAGCTTCCTCGATTCCGTTGATCGGGCCTCTAAGCTCACTGCGGCTCTCTCCTTCTTCGCCGGCGCGGATCCCCAGTATTATCAAGCCATGAACCAGATCGGCGCCGTCGTCCACCACGCTATGGCGTTCTTGGAGGATGAGTTCCATTCCCTCCTCATCTACGATCCTTCCTCCAAGTCGAGGAAACCGCCAGCGGAGTCCACCTCCGGCGCATCCAAGACAAAACGCCGACCCTCATTCAGTCTTGTTCACGAGCCCGATCGCTGTGTTCTACAACCAAATTTCTCCGACCTATCCCCGTCTCCTGATTCCCCTTCCGCCGATCTCTCATCCCCTCGCCCTGATCATCAAAGCGCCACCCGCCTCCGCCACATCGCCGGCGCCATGATCGCCTCCGGATACGAAACAGAATGCTGCCAGGTTTACACAATCGCGCGGCGCAACGCCATGGATGCCAGTCTCTCTGACAATGGCTTCGATAGAATTAGCATCGACGACGTTCTCCGCATGCCTTGGGAAACCCTAGAACCCGAAATCGCTTCGTGGACCAAAGCCTTTCGCCAAGCCATCACCATCTCCTTACCACGTGAACGCGAGCTCTGCGAAAGCGTATTCGACGGCCCTCACCGCCCCATTGTCGACAGCATCATCCGCAACCTCGCTCGCAACCTCCTCATCCAACTCTTGGCCTTCGCCGAAGCGGTCTCCATGACCAAACGTTCCGCCGAAAAGCTCTTCAAAGTTCTCGACATGTACGAAGCCCTCCGCGATATGATCCCCAAACTCGACGAAATCTTCGATTCTCACACCGTTGACGAAGACATCAAGATGGATCTGTCATCTGTCCGCACTCGCCTCGGCGAAGCAGCCGTTTTCATTTTCTGCGATTTGGAGATCTCCATCAAATCCGACGCAGCTAAAGCCCCTGTACCCGGCGGCGCCGTTCATCCCCTCACCCGCTACGTTATGAACTACCTCAAATACGCCTGCGAGTACAAGAACACACTCGAGCAGGTTTTCAATGATCACCGAAAAACAGATATTTCGATGCCGGCATCATCGTCTTCATACGACGGAGAAGAGGAAGACGATAACTCAGCCCGCGACGGCGGCCGATCGGCAGGCAATAGCGGCCGGAGCCTTTTATTTGCCTCCCAGGTAGTCCAAGTAATGGACCTGCTCAACGCCAACCTGGAATCAAAAGCAAATCTCTACAAAGACCTAGCTCTCAGCAGCATCTTCATGATGAACAATGGAAGATACATCGTGCAAAAGTTCAAAAGTTCAGCGGAAATTAAAGAGCTTTTAGGTGAGACGTGGTGCAGAAAGAAATCATCGGATTTACGAAAGTATCACAAGAACTACCAGAGGGAGACATGGTCCAAGATATTGGGCTGCTTCAAAGACGAAGGTTTGCAGGTGAAAGGCGGGGTTTCGAAGCCGGTTCTGAAGGAGAGATTCAAGATCTTTAACTCCATGTTCGAGGAAATACACAAGACACAGAGCGGCTGGTTGGTGAGCGATGAACAGTTGCAGTCGGAGCTGAGGGTATCGGTATCGGCGGTGGTGGTGCCGGCGTATCGGTCATTTATCGGCCGATTCAGCCAGTATCTGGATCCTGGAAGACAGACGGAGAAGTACATAAAGTTTTGGCCGGAGGATCTGGAATCTTACATTGATGACCTCTTCGATGGCAACCCTACCTCCGTTTTGAAGAGGAAATAGTGATCTCTGGGTTTTAATGGCCGGTGAAGTTTCTTCTCTTCTTTGTTGCTTATATACATATTGAATTGATTTGATACTGCGTTTTTTTTTCACTTTTGTGATGAACAGGCATCTGATAATGGGGAGCGTTTTAACGGTAGTTTAAAAATACATTTTTGGCTATTTTCTGTGATATTTGTAATGCGAAATTAGCAGTCTTGACATGTTTGAATATTGAAAAAAAGTTCTTTCAAATAGTTTAGTAGATTTTAATTATATTAATATAAGATTTGGCTTTGCTACATTTTTTTTTTTT